AGAGAAGGAGTGCTGGGAGGGTGAGAGAGAAGAGAGCAGGGAGGGAGAGAGAAAGGAGTGCAGGGAGGGAGAGACCAGGGTGCAGGGAGGGAGCGGTCCCCGCCATTGGGGGAAGGACTTTGTCCTCCTGTCACAGCTATGTCTTCATTCCACCAAAACCCACGGCCCATGAGGAAGGAGGGAATAGTTGTGGCGCACCTGGTCACATGGGGGAACTTAGTCAACCTGCAGTTAAATTTGCAAGAACACCAGAGTTATTGGCTGTAAGGTTGCTTGCCGTTCCCAAGCTTTTCAAAGCAGGTCGGATGATGAACAACCAGTAGGCATCTGACTGCTCTTAGCTTGTTATAACCATTGACTTCTGCGTGAATGCATATAGATCCTAGCCACCACATAGATCCTCGTAGCTACAGCCATAGGCCCCCTGAAGCATGTATCTTATTCTTACGCCCCAGTCTATTGCTCATCCACATTTGGCCCTAGTCTGATAAGTATCGGGGGTGATCCAAGGAAATGAATCCTGATTGTAGCTCCCCATTGGGAGTGAGCCACATAGCAGTGGGAAAGCCGAACGCCAGGGCCAGGCCATCGTCGCATTCTTGCTCCCTGCTCACCGTCTGGCCATCAGCCAAACCACACACTCACCGCCCCACGCCCCCCTGGTCCATGCTGTCCTGCCTCTCTCCCTCCCTGCTGTCCTGCCTCTCTCCCTCCCTGCTGTCCTGCCTCTCTCCCTCCCTGCTGTCCTGCCTCTCTCCCTCCCTGCCGTCCTGCCTCTCTCCCTCCCTGCTGTCCTGCCTCTCTCCCTCCCTGCTGTCCTGCCTCTCTCCCTCCCTGCTGTCCTGCCTCTCTCCCTCCCTGCCGTCCTGCCTCTCTCCCTCCCTGCTGTCCTGCCTCTCTCCCTCCCTGCTGTCCTGCCTCTCTCCCTCCCTGCTGTCCTGCCTCTCTCCCTCCCTGCCGTCCTGCCTCTCTCCCTCCCTGCTCTCCTGCCTCTCTCCTCCCTGCCGTCCTGCCTCTCTCCCTCCCTGCTGTGGGACAGGGGGGTAACAGGAAGGGGGAGCATAGGGGAGGTGAGGGACAGGGGGAGGAAAGGAAGGGGGAGCATAGGGAGTGAGGGACAGGGGGAGGAAAGGAAGGGGAGCATAGGGGAGGTGTAGGGAGGGGATCACATGGCAATCGGAGTGGAGAGCATGGCAGATTATGGCGGGATATCGAATGAGAGGGGAGCATGGCAAAACAGGGGGGAGCTAGGCAGATGGGGGGGGAGGGGGGGGGAGATGAAGGGGGAGCATGGCAGATCAGGGGGGAAGTTAGGCGGAATAAGGGATGGGAGTAGGGGGAGGGAATAAAGATATGGAGTGGGGGAGATAAGGGAACGAAGTGGGGGGAATCAGGGAAGGTAGTGGGGGGAATATGGGATGGGGGAATGAGGGTAGGGAGTTGTGGGAACAAGGGAATGTATGGGGGGATATGAGAGACGGAGCACTCTTCGTGGCTTTGGCACCCATGGGTCCGCCCCATCTCAGCCTCTCTCCTTCCTTCTGCACCTCTCTCCTTCCTTCCGCACCTCTCTCCTTCCTTCCGCACCTCTCTCCTTCCTTCCGCACCTCTCTCCTGTTGGAGTGGTTCCGCCACCAACAATGGACTACTTGTGACTTGGGTGACGGAGAGAAATGCGGACTTGGGACGAGAAGGAACTAGGAAGCGGGTATTGCGTGAGCGTGAGGTGTACGGAAAGGGGAGAAGAAAGAGAGAAGATTGGTGGAAAGAAAGGAGAATGGTGGTTGAGTGGAAGAAAGGAGTGGAAGTGGCGAGAACAGATTGACGTGGGGCAAAAGTTGGGTTTCGGACGGGGCGTGTTCAACAAGCATTCTGACTTCGGACCAACGGCGTGTTCAGCAAGAAAGTCGCGATTGCGTGTGCGACTCGGCATGACACGAAGCGCGCGAGTTACGCGCAGCGCACACGGCATGTAAGGAAAATTCCTTTTCCTTACTGGGCTCAACTACAGCGCGTACGCCCTCGCCCTCGGAAGACCAGGCCCGGCCTTTTCCTCGGTCCCGAACCATTTCGTAAACCCAAACCTAATGCGCGGCGCTTCCGTGGCTTTCGCCAACCGATCGCCCCAACCTGTTTGCGAGGTTCTCGGCTAGCCCTGTTCGTGCCTATAAATGCCTAGGTCCTCATTTGTATTGACACTCTTGAATCACGACTCCTTTATTACACTACCTGTTATTACTCTGATTAATTCATAACAGCTGGTATCAGAGCCCCGTTCCTGCCCGCTTAGTCTTCCGTAGAGTAGTCCGTTTATATCGGGAGAGGACCCGACAGAATAGAGGGTTGGCCAGCGGTTGGTAGGCGAGCTCGTTAAAGCTCCTCCAACTAAAAGCGTGTGCACCCTCAGATCTGTCAGGTAAAATTTCCAGCATGACTAGCACGCCGGAAACCTCTGCCCGTCGTAGTGTTAGGAACGTGACTCAGGAGGAGTTTGACGAGTTGCAAGCCAGGGCGGCTACAGTGACGACACTGCAGGCCCAGCTTCAACAACTCGGAAATTCGAGTCGCTGGGAAGCGAAGTTCAGACGCTGCGCAACGAAAACTCGTCACTTCGCCAGACGCGGGGTGAAACGCGTCAGGAGCGGCCTGTTACCCGAGACGAGGATGCTGCGAGCGAAGCGAAGGCGTCGGCGACACCTGAAGCAGTTGAAGAAATCCACAGCGAACCGCGGCGGCCATTAAAATCAACCTCCCATGCCCCCACCGTTCAACCCGACAGACAGACGACCACTGTGAGCGGGTGGCTGTTCGCCATGGAACGGCAGCAAGTATTAATGACAACACCTCACGTGTCAACTTGGCTGTGTCGCTGCTGAGGGGACCGGCACTCGACTGGTGGCGCATGCATCTGACGAGGGAGGAGCTCCGGCAGGGAATCAACGGGCGGCAGCTGGGGAGATGAGTTCATCAACGGCAACGGCAGAACCAATCTTTGGTTCGACCACGATCCGCACGTGGAAAGCGTGGGGCGAAGCGTTGAAAAGCAGATTCGAGCACATATCCATGCGCGAAAATGCTCGCACAAAGCTTCGGATGTGGAGACAGTTGGGCCCTGTCCAAGAATACACGGCGTCGTTTCTGGCCATCTGCGACCAAATCGGAGGGATCAGCGAGGACGAGAAATCGATCGCTACGTGGGCGGACTCAAACCGGAGATTCAACAAGAAATCGTCCTGCGAGCCCCGACGACCTTCAACGAATGTTCGCATGGCGGATGCGCTGGACGCGACGTGGACTCGCGAGAGCGGGTTTCCGGGAGGGAAATCGCTTTCGAGGCCAGCCCCAACACACATCAATCAACGGCGTGGACGTGTTTGCAGCCCGAGTATTTTCGGGGACCTGCTTCCACTGCAACCAGCCGGGTCACATGGTGAGGGACTGCCCGCAGCTGAAGAAGAACTTACCTAACGACAAGAAGCAGTCGGGAAATGGAGATCGTCAGTAGCAGATGGGCCACCTACTGACTTGACTGCGTCGCCCAAACGCCACCACCCCCACCAGGTTATAGTGCCGATTTGGGCTATCGACCATTCCTGGCTGAATAAGGGGGGTGAACCGGTTGACCACCCTGTGCTGGTTGAAGGGAGAGTTGGTGATACCCGCATAAAAATATTTGTTGATGGCGGGGCAAGCCACAGTTTAATGGATGTGACGAAAGCGAAAAAATTGCGACTGCAACTGGAGCGGTGCTCCCTGAAATCGACGCGCGATTGGTCGATGGCACACCCCTGGCAATTCGGGAGCGAGTACCTCACGTGCGAGTTACTGCGGCGAAAATTTCAGCTTACGACGAAGATGCTGGCGACAACTGGACGGCTGCGACATGCTGCTGGGACGCGATTGGCTGCGCGAGTACAACCCGAGCATCGATTGGCGGACGGGTGACTGTCGCATCAAATGGAGTGGCGAGTGGCGACGACTTCCGAAGTGGAACAATCCAGATTCTGCGACAGTCAGCGGGTTACCATCAAGCGAGCGATGATTCGCGGGCGCAACTGTACGCCGTGATGGATCGCATCCACGGCGTCACGCACCAGCCGACATCGACAAACTCTGCGCGGCAGTCCCGACGACTTGGCGACATTGATTCGCAAGCACGCCGACATCTTTCCGGACGACCTACCGCCAGGATTGCCACCGAGCGAGACCACGACCATAATCCATTGGAGCCCGGCGCGCAACCGACGGTTCGGACACAGTGGAGGCTGACTCAGCCAGAGCTGGATGAACTTCGACGCCAGCTGGATTACCTGCTCGAGAAAGGTTTGTTCGCCCCAGTACTTCCCGTTCGCAGCTCCGATCCTGTTCACCCCGAAGAAAGATGGCGGTCTACGAATGTGCATTGACTACCGCGCCTTGAACCGGGTTACCATAAGTCTCGCTATCCTATTCCGCGCCGACGAACTCATCGACCAACTTCGTGGGGCAAAGTTCTTTTCGAAAATTGACCTGCGAGGCGGTTACCACCAGATCCGTGTCAACGAAGCTGACTGCTACAAGACGGCGTTCCGAACCCGATACGGGAGTTACGAGTACACGGTCATGCCTTTTGGCTTAACCAACGCGCCTTCAACATTCCAGTTAACCATGAACGAAGTTTTTCGGCCGCTGCTGGATAAATGCGTCATTGTGTACCTCGACGACATCCTGATCTACAACTACCCGGGAACAGCATTTGAAGGATTTGGAAGCAGTCTTCTCTCTCTGCAGCAGCATCGACTCATCACCAAGGGTCTAAGTGCGAGTTTCTGAAACAAGAACTGGAGTTTTTGGGACACGTTATTTCCATCGACGGTGTTAAAATCGACCCGAAAAAAATCGCGACCATACAAGACTGGAAGCCGCCGGCTAATCTCCGCGAACTTCAAAGTTTCCTGGGGTTTGTGAATTACGTTCGCCGGTTCATCCCGAACATGGCGGGGGTAACTTCCCCTCTCACGGATCTTCTGAAGAAAGGCAAGTTTTATGAGTGGGGGGGAGAGCAGCAGGCTGCGTTCGACCAACTCAAACTTTTCCTGACAACACCTCCGGTTCTTCGCATTGCAGATCCTCACCGTCCGTTCGAACTCATCACCGACGCTAGCGACCTGGCTGTTGGCGCAGTACTGTTACAGGACTTCGGCGAAGGCCTTCAACCCATCGCCTACGAGTCACGAAAGCTGAATCCGGCCGAGCGAAATTATCCCGTCCACGACAAGGAGTTACTCGCCATCGTTCACGCTTTCAAGTTTGGCGCTGCTACCTGACGGGCGCTGACGTGACAGTCCGAACAGACCACAAATCGCTACAGTTCATCGCGCCCAACCGACACTCAACCCCGACAGATTCGCTGGCTCGATTATCTCGAGTCGAATTTCCACTACAGAGTCACCTACAAACGAGGGGCCAGCAACATCGCCGACGCACTGACCCGCCCTTCAGTCCATACCGCCGCTGTCCTAATCACCCAAACCAATCCGCTGCTAACTGGACTATTTACCCACGGATACAGTACCGACCCATTCTTCACGACTAACAGTCATCCCCAACTGACAGTCAAGCAGGGGCTTATTACCTAAAATCCGGTACCAATCGGATTTGGGTTCCCGCTTACCGTACCCTACGCGAGCTACTGATACAGGAGGCACACGACTCGAATTTTCGGGTCACTACGGCATCGACAAAACTGCCAAATTACTGAGCCGTAATTATTACTGGCCCGATTTCGACGACGTGCAGCAGTACGTCACCTCCTGCGCCACGTGTCAACGCATGAAGTCGTCACGACTTCGACCTGCGGGATTACTGCAGCCGCTCGAGCCACCCAGCCGACCCTGGCAACAAGTGACGATGGATTTCGTCACTGGCCTGCCAGCTGGTCCAAGCGGTAATGACGCGATTCTCGTCGTCGTTGACCGTTTGACCAAAATGGCACACTTCGCCGCCTGCAAGACGACAATCACTGCCGAGCAGACAGCGAAGCTGTTTCTCACGAACATCGTGCGCTACACGGCATCCCTTCGGCAATCATCAGCGATCGCGACCCTCGGTTCACGTCCAATTTCTGGACAAAAACCTGGCAGCAGTACGGCACACGTCTGCATCTGTCCACGGCATACCACCCGCAATCGGACGGCCAGACTGAGCGCACCAATCAGACGATGGAGCAGCTGTTCGTACAACGTGCACAGACCCGGCCCAATGGGAAGATTCTCTTCCACTGATCGAGTTTGCGTACAACAACGCCCCATCAGCCACGACTACTCAGTCCCCGTTCTTCCTAATTACGGGATAGACCCGACAACCCCTCTATCGCCACCGATAGAAAATCCGGCACCAAGGTCGCAGCAGTTCGTCGACAATCTCCGACAGTCTCAGCAAAAAGCCGCTGATGCCATCTCAAAGCCAACCAACGGGCTAAGCAGCAAGCTGACCGACGACGCCGTGACTTAACTCTTGCCCCTGGGCAATTGGTCCTGCTCGACACTCGAAATTTGGGATTCCCCTCCCAAAAAACTACGACCAAGATTTTGCGGCCCATTCCGTATCATCCGCATGGTGACACCCGTCACCGCCCAACTGCAACTACCGAGCGACTGGCGAATCACGATTCATTCCACGTCAGTCTCCTGCGACCGTTCGTCCCGAATACAACTGATCTCGACATAATCCTACGGTCAACCCAGTACCCGAGCCGACGATCGAGCCATCGAAAATCTCGCTCATCGCGTACGAGGTTCTCGCGACACAGCAGCCGTTGATTTCCTTGTACGATGGGTCGATCGCACGACTGATGACAACCTCTGGGTCCCCGCAGCTATGCTCGGTGAACACAAGTTGTCAGGGACTATTTACACCGACGACGTGTCCCGGATGTGGGTAGTCTCATCTCGGAAAGGGGGGTGGTGTAAGAAAAATTCCTTTTCCTTACTGGGCTCAACTACAGCGCGTACGCCCTCGGCCCTCGGAAGACCAGGCCCGGCCTTTTTCCTCGGTCCCGAACCATTTCGTAAACCCAAACCTAATGCGCGGCGCTTCCGTGGCTTTCGCCAACCGAGTCGCCCCAACCTGTTTGCGAGGTTCTCGGCTAGCCCTGTTGTGCCTATAAATGCCTAGGTCCTCTTTTGTATTGACGACCATTGAATCACGACTCCTTTATTACACTACCTGTTATTACTCTGATTAATTCATAACACGGCAGTTACGAACCGCGTTTGTTCTTTCTTGTTTGTTATGATTTAGAAGATGTCAATGTACTATAATGAGAATACAACGTCACTATTGCCATGAAAGCACAAGGTTATATAGGAGTGGATGTAATAGGGCGATAACCTCGGGACGTGAGTAGGTTCGGCAATGTGGCGACGCTGTCGGGCGCGACTCGAGAAAGGGTTGGCCGAAAATGTAGGCCGAACGTGACGAGTCGAAGTGTTCGGGTGTACGCGGTAGCGGCCGACTCAGTAAGGAATGGAAATTCCTTACACTACCCCCCCTCCTAAACGAGACCGTGGGCATCGGAGACATTCCGCCGCTAGTAATATGCCGTTAGAATGGATGTGATTCTAGCTCAGAGGGGCACCCAGCTGTCGTCTTCAGACGTGCGATCGCGCCAGCGGACTAGGAAATCAACCATCCGACGGTTCAGCTGCGTGGTGATGCGATGGCCGAGAATTTTCAAGGGCTCATTTGTCGGTTCCTGCAAAGGCGTTAGTTGCGGTACACCACGGTTGGGCCAAGTCCGACGAACTCGGGACGTAGGGTCGGAGAAGACTGACGTGGAAAGCCGGATGATGGCGCCAATCAGCCGGGAGCCGAAGGTGGACAGTGACAGGTGTCACGAGGTTGGTCACTTGAAAAGGGCCGCAGAATCTAGGTCGGAGTTTGCTTGGGATCGGCAGCCGCAAATTGCGAGTGTCGAGGAGGACAAGATCTCCCACTTTGTAAGTGACGTCGCGGCGATGTCGATCGGCTTGTCGGCTTGCGACCAGGTTAGCTTTCCAAATGGCCCTCAGCTGCTTTGTCGCGAATGGCGAGGATGTCTTCAGCAAATTTCTGGGACCGGGGTACTGGTGACTCAATGTTCGGTGTAGCGGGTACAACCGGGTCCTGTCCGTAGTTGAGGAAGAATGGTGATTGATGGGTTGTCGCTGAGGTCGCGTTATTATACGCGAATTCTAGTAGCGGAAGAGATTTCTCCCATGTCGAGGGGTCAGTACAGGTGGTGCGAATGAGCTGCTCCATGGTTTGGTTAACGCGTTCGGTCTGCCGTCGGTTTGTGGGTGGTAGGCGGATGAAAATTGGAGTTTGGTGCCGAATTGGTCCCACACGTGGCGCCAAAAATTCGATGTGAATTTTGGGTCTCGGTCGGAAATGATGGCGGAGGGCAGTCCGTGCAGACGGATGACGTTCGCGATGAACAGCTGCGCAGTTTGTTCGGCGGTGATTGTCTGTTGGCAGGCGATGAAGTGTGCCATTTTCGTGAGTCGGTCAACGACCACGAGGATGGCGTCGTTTCCGCTGGGACCGGTCGGCAGTCCTGTCACGTAGTCCATCGTAACGTGTTGCCAAGGTCGCTCGGGCGGATCCAATGGCTGTAGTAGTCCGGCTGCTCGCTGATGCGACGATTTCATAATCTGGCAGGCGGTGCAGGAGGACACGTACGTGCGCACGTCATCGGCCATGTTCGGCCAGTAATAATTCCGCTGCAGCATCTTCGTGGTTTTATCGACGCCGAAATGTCCTGAGGTAGGGTTGTCATGGGATTCCTGGATGAGCAGGGTGCGGAGTAAATCGTAGCCGGGTACCCAGATGCGAGAGATACCGCGTTTATGAAAGTACGGGCCAGTAGCGGTGGTATGCTGTTGATGGATGGCGGAGCGGAAAAAAGGATCGATCTTGTATCCGTGGGTGAATAGTCCTGTAAGTAATGGGTTTGACTGGGCGACTAGTATCGCGGCGGTATGGACAGTAGGGCGGGTCAAGGCATCGGCGATATTATTGGCCCCCCGTTTGTAGGTGATGGTGTAATGGAAATTTGACTCGAGGAAATCGAGCCATCGGATCTGTCGTGGGTTGAGGTTCGGTTGGGCGCGCAGGTACTGTAAGGATTTGTGGTCCGTCCGCACTGTGACGTCAGCTCCGGTCAGGTAGCACCGCCAGGTTTTGAACGCGTGGACGATTGCCAGCATTTCCTTGTCGTGCACTGTATAGTTCTTCTCCGCGCCTTGCAGCTTCCGTGATTCGTATGCGACTGGTTGTAACCCGTCGCCGAAATCCTGTAGGAGAACTGCACCGATGGTGATGTCGCTGGCGTCGGTGACGACTTCGTATGGACGGTTGGGATCGGAGATGCGAAGGACGGGTGGCGACGTGAGGGCGATTTTGAGTTGATCGAATGCAGCTTGCTGCTTCTCACCCCACCAAAAACAATCGTGATCCTTCAATCGGTCGGTTAGCGGTGCAGATAACCCAGCCATATTGGGGATAAAGCGGCGGACGTAGTTGACAAAACCCAGAAAACTTTGGTGTTCCTTGAGGTTGGTCGGCGGCTTCCATTCCTGTATGGTCTTGATTTTCCTGGGGTCGATTTTCACGCCTTCGGTAGAGACGACATGGCCCAAAAACTCCAACTCCGGCTTAAGAAAGTCGCACTTAGACCCTTTCGTGATGAGGCGATTCTTGTGCAGCAGCGTGAAGACTGCATCAAGATCCTTTAAGTGCTGCTCCCTGCTGCGGCTGTAGATTAGGATGTCATCGAGGTAGATAATTACGCATTTATCCAAGAGTTCGTGAAAAATACCGTTCATGGTCATCTGGAAGGTCGAGTGCGCGTTCATGAGTCCAAAAGGCATCACCAGGTACTCGTAACTACCGTAGCGGGTTCGGAAGGCGGTCTTGTGGCAATCCTCGGCGGCGACGCGAATTTGGTGGTAACCTCCTCGCAGATCGATTTTCGAGAAGAACTGGGCTCCGCGAAGTTGGTCGAGTAGGTCGTCGGCTCGCGGGATCGGGTAACGGGACTTGATGGTGATGCGGTTGAGTGCGCGGTAGTCGATGCACATACGGAATCCGCCATCTTTTTTCGGTGTGAACAGTATGGGGGTGGCGTATGGGGATGTGCTTGGGCGGATGAAACCTTTCGTTAGGAGGTAATCCAGCTGCTGCTGCAATTCCTCGAGTTCCGGTTGGCTGAGCCGAAATTGTCGCTGTACCGTCGGTTGTGCCCCTGGTTCCAGCTCGATGCGATGGCCTTCGGGTCGGCTTGGCGGCAGTCCGGCGGATAGGTCGTCCGTGAAAATCTCGGGGTATTTTCGGATGAGTTCTGCTAAATCCGGAGGAACGGCTTCACACAGCTTCGTGATATCTTCCGCTGTTATCGGCGACGTCACTTCGCAAAGATCAATGGCGTATGCTGCTGCTCCCGCTTTTATCGCGCGCTTGAAAGTGATCGCGTGGACTTGGGTACTTCGCATGCGGGGTCCCGTCCATTTCGGTAATTCGTGATAGTGCCCATCGATCTTGATGCTGCAGCTGCCCGTCGTCCAGTCGATTTTCGGGTTGTACTGTCGCAGCCAATCCCGTCCCAGCAGCACGTCGCACCCGTCGAGTGTGGTCGCCAGCAGCCCATCCGAAATTTTACGTGCTCGCCGCAGTGGAAACTGACGTGCTCCACCCGCTCCCGTATAGCCAGCGGTGTTCCATCCACCAGTCTTGCGTCAATTTTGGGTAGGCACTTTAATAAGGGGATACCCATTTTCTTAGCCCTGTCAAGCTGCATGAGACTGTGACTCGCGCCTCCATCCACGAATATTTTCAGCAACACCCCGTTGACTTTACCCTCCACCAACACAGGGTGATCAGCAGTTTCGTCCCCCTTATTTGTCCAGGTCCGGTCGATTGCAGCAATCGGGATCACGACCCGGTGGGGACTGTGTGGTTCGGGCGAAGAAGCCTGCCCGTCAGTAAGGGGCCCGGTACTTACTGACGCGACCCATTTCCCGGTCGCTCCTCCGGCTTCTTCCCCATAGAATTCTGGATGGCGATGAACTCTTGGCAGTTGCGTTTGATGTGACCCGGTCGGCCACAGTGGTAGCATAGCCCCGTATTTCGCGGAGCAACTGCGTAGATATCTACTGCGTCCATCCTTTTTATCGTGGTGCGCTGGTACTGTTCTCGAGGGCGACCTCCGTCGTAGAAGTTCGTCCTCGGCTTCGTGAGCGAGTCAGCGGCTTCGACGAGTTGGATGAAGTCTTGTAACCGCTTCGCTGGTCATTGTAATTTTATTTGGTACTGTATTTCAAGCTTCAGCCCGCCCATGTACCTGTCGACCTTCTCCAACTCGTGCATGTAGCCACATCGATCCACCAACGTCAGGAATGACGCGATGTAGTCGGACACAGATCCCAGCTGCTTCCACATGCGTAAAGTCTCGCGCACTTTGTCTGAGTCAGGAGCATGCTCAAACCGCTTGCGAAGTTCTGCGCACCACGTTGCCCACGTGCGAATGTGAGTTGCACCAAACAGCAAATCTGCTTCGTCTTCGTCGCCGAATTCTTCGGACCACTCATGCTGTCCTTCTGTACGAGTTGCCGCTGAGTCGACGATGACCTTCCACCACTGTAGGGCGGCCCCTTGCAGCAGTGTCAACGCATGGCTGATCCGCTTCTGGTCGTCTCGGATGCCTGCCGCGTTAAAGTAGATATTCATGGCGAATATCCACTGCTGCACCGTCACGCCTTTATTAGCTGGGTCGAAAGGAGCGGGTTGCTGATATCTCACGCCGCCACTTGTCGAGCGCGGGGCTGTCGCCGCTAGCCATGCCAGCTCCACTGGTGTCGGTTGCTGCTCACCCGCCTCGCTTCGTGCATCGTCGCCCGGCTCCTCTGAACGCCTTTCCTGCGCCTGGCGAAGTCGTTGGTTTTCGTCACGGAGGTGTGGACGACGCTTGTCAAATTATTCAACTGCTCCATTAATGCTTGCAGGTCTACTGTTTCCCGGGCAGAGTTCGCAGCAGTCGAGGTTGTCTGTTCCTCAACCGTCGAGTCTACCGGGGCCATGGCGGTCAGGACGGGGCAGAAACTAGCGCACACGCTGTAGTTGTTGTCGTAAAAATATTTACGATCAGAGACAACTGCTGTGCAGCCATGTTAATCCCCTCTGACTACCCTTAACTAACTAACGGGGAAAAAACGGAAGGTTCCGAGAAAGGTCGGGCTCTGATACCAGCTGTTATGATTTAGAAGATGTCAATGTACTATAATGAGAATACAACGTCACTATTGCCATGAAAGCACAAGGATATATAGGAGTGGACGTAATAGGGCGATAACCTCGGGACGTGAGTAGGTTCGGCAATGTGGCGACGCTGTCGGGCGCGACTCGAGAAAGGGTTGGCCCGAAAATGTAGGCCGAACGTGACGAGTCGAAGTGTTCGGGTGTACGCGGTAGCGGCCGACTCAGTAAGGAATGGAAATTCCTTACATTGTTTGCCTATAAATCAGTATACTCTTGTGTGCTTTGTATCTCATTGGAACTAGTGGAATGCTTGTGTGTATTGACAACTTGCAACCACTTTGAGATCAGATTGTGAGGCAAGGCCCTTGAGGCTATTTGCACATGTATTTCTAAATATTTTTCGCTGCGCCGGAGGCGATAGTCGCCAAGAACTGGTATCAGAGCTAGCGTCGAATTGCTGGCGAATTTTTCTGCGTGGAGTCTACTTAGTGCGCTAAGTAGAGCAGAGGATTTAAAGGAGTGTAGCCTAAGCCTACGTCATGGCGGGTGATGAGGTTAGTTCGGGATCCAGTGTGAGCATTGGAGAACCACAGATGAGAGCTCTCCTGGAGGCCCTGTCGAGGGGGCAGTTTATGGTGAAACCAACGATTGGGCTCAGCGAGGCCCAACGTTTCAATGGAAGCAGCTACAGTACGTGGCACTTGAAGTTCAATCGAAGGGCGGAGGAGGTGGACCTTTGGCCCTACTACTCGCCGGGCAAGGAGACAGGGGAGGGAGTACCTCCTACTGAGACGGAGCCGGCGGAGAAAATTGCAGAATTCAGGAGGAAGAGTAAGCAAGCGTTCTTTCAGTTGTGTCACTCAGTTTCTGACAGTATTGCCGTCAATTTGGACCCGTTTAAGCGTGAGGTGAATTCTGCGGAGAAGGCCTGGGCATGTTTGGAGAGCATGTATCTTAGGCCAAGCAACACTAACAAGTCTGCTGTGCGTAAGAAGTTGGTTGCTCAGCATGGGAGAGGAAGAGAAGATCATCGACTACGTCAACAGGGCGCGCAGCCTCAACGATGAGCTAGCGGGGATGGGAGATGCTGAGAACGAGGAGCAAATGATCGAGCATCTAGCAAATGGACTACCCCGAGACGTGGGCAGCAGAGAAGAGCGGCCTTGTTCTTCACCCTTCAGAGAGCATGACGCAGTTAGTGGACAAGCTGCAGTCGATTGAGGCGATGAAGATAGCGAGCAAGGGGAAGACGGAAGCTGCATATGGCGGGCAGGAGAAGCCGGGGATGGTGAATGCAGCAGCGGCTTGGAGGATTACTGGTGCTTGTTATCACTGCTGTAAGAAAGGGCACAAGGCGATAGACTGCTACGATAATCCTAAGAGCAGGAACTATAGGGGGAAGGAAACTGCAAGCGACGGAGAAGGTTGGCAGCAGCGGAAGGGGTTTGGAGGCACCTGCGATTTCTGTGGGAGGTACGGACATAGGGCAGCAGATTGCTATTCCAATCCAAACAGCAAGAGTTATAGGGGTCCAGCACATCAGCTGCGGAATGCACCGAAGGCGAACGTGATGGAAGCAGAAAAGGAGAAAGAAGATCCTATCCTTGGAGGCGCACATCGGGCAAACATTGCGCGTGCGTCAAACCTGCGAGCTGACGGGTTCAAGCTCCACGGCTGGTACTTCGACAGTGGTTGTACACAGCACATGACAAACAGGTCAGACTGGCTGGAGAATGTGAGGGAGTCGAGTGAGAAGTTCATACTGCTGGGAGATAGCACAAAGGTACCCGTCACTGGAGAAGGTGACGTCCTACTGCGTAGCAGGTTCGGGGAACTGAAGCTGAAAGGAGTACTGCTGGTGAAGGACCTATCCATGAATCTGATTAGTCAGTCATAGATGGATGCATTGGGGTGTAAGGTGCTCAACGACCGGGGCAAGGTTACAGTATTTGGTCCAACGTGGGAAGTAGTTGCAGACGGGAAACTGAAGCGGGGTTTCTACGAGATGGATTTTATGCCGAAGCTGTTAGTAACGGATGGGTATGAGGAGGACAACATAAGCAATGAAGTCATGGTTGTAAGGGAGGAGACAGGAGCTGAGGCAGCTAAGAAGCAGGATGCTGGAGATCTTGCAACAAGCACGATGATGGCCAACAGAGTGGAGGCAAAGGTTGGAGAAACAGGATGGGAGGAGAAACAGAAGCAGGCAGCAGCAAAGACAAGGAACGAGGAGATAGAGAAGTCTGAGGAACCTGAGGGAGAGAAGCAGACAGTAACGACTATCAACTGGTTTGGTAAGATTTTGGAGGTTAGCGAAGGAGGATGGATAGTACGGGCTGGCGACGAGTTGTTCAGTGATTGTGAGGGTATCCTAGAATGGGCAAGAGAGATTGGGGACTCTACTGAGGGCGAGGAGTACAGTAAGGAGAAGAAGCAGACCAATCCTAATCTGAGGGTTCAGAGTTATCCATTCAAGCCTGGTAAGCAGAAGCAGAAAGCCAAGCAGTTGCTGGGGAGTATGGAGCTGACCTAGCATGCAAGGATAAAGACTACTGGGGAGCAGTAAAAGAGAGAATCACATGGGAGGTGCGTGGTTGGCAGAACCACAGGGGAGGTTGTTGGAGTGGTTCCGCCACCAACAATGGACTACTTGTGACTTGGGGTGACGAGGAGAGAAATGCGGACTTGGGACGAGAAGGAACTAGGAAGCGGGTATTGCGTGAGCGTGAGGTGTACGGAAAGGGGAGAAGAAAGAGAGAAGATTGGTGGAAAGAAAGGAGAATGGTGGTTGAGTGGAAGAAAGGAGTGGAAGTGGCGAGAAACAGATTGACGTGGGGCAAAAGTTGGGTTTCGGACGGGGCGTGTTCAACAAGCATTCTGACTTCGGACCAGCGGCGTGTTCAGCAAGAAAGTCGCGATTGCGTGTGCAACTCGGCATGACACGAAGCGCGCGAGTTACACGCAGCGCACACGGCAGTTACGAACCGCGTTTGTTCTTTCTTGTTTGCCTATGAATCAGTATACTCTTGTGTGCTTTGTATCTCATTGGAACTAGTGGAATGCTTGTGTGTATTGACAACTTGCAACCACTTTGAGATCAGATTGTGAGGCAAGGCCCTTGAGGCTATTTGCACATGTATTTCTAAATACTTTTCGCTGCGCCGGAGGCGATAGTCGCCAAGATCTCCTTCCTTCCGCACCTCTCTCCTTCCTTCCGAACCTCTCTCCTTCCTTCCGCACCTCTCTCCTTCCTTCCGCACCCCTCTCCTTCCTTCCGCACCTCTATCCTTCCTTCCGCACCTCTCTCCTTCCTTCCGCACCTCTCTCCTTCCTTCCGCACCCTTCTCCTTCCTTCCGAACCACTATCCTTCCTTCCGCACCTCTATCCTTCCTTCCGCACCTCTCCCCTTCCTTCCGCACCTCTCTCCTTCCTTCCGCACCTCTCTCCTTCCTTCCGAACCTCTATCCTTCCTTCCGCACCTCTCTCCTTCCTTCCGAACCTCTATCCTTCCTTCCGCACCTCTCTCCTTCCTTCCGCACCTCTCTCCTTCCTTCCGCACCTCTCTCCTTCCTTCTGCTCCTCTTCCCTTCCACATTCCGCTAGATCTTCTAGGTGGGTACAGGCAGGGGCACGGGAACACGTTTCTCTCTCTCCTACCCGCAACTCTCGAACCCCTAGTCTCTGGCTTCGGTTTGCGACTTTCGCGCCGTGCAAAATCGAGTCACTGTGGTACTAGTAACTGGCGACGCTTCTGCGCTGAATGGATGTAGAGCTGGGAAGATTCTGGCTCGCATATACCGTGTGGAATGTGACACATATCTGTGCGGAGTCGGACGCCTGTTTTTCAGCAGCGCTTCTGCATTTGTTCGCGTCTGTTAATCTGGTGCTTGCCTGGTGGTTTTGTGTGTGACGCGATTCTGTGACGCGTTTTTGCTTGCAAGGAGGTCCCAGGTTTGGCGAAGGTTTTTCTGTTTGCGAAGGGGCAGGTCGGTTTGGCCTTGTTTCGCAATTCCAATTCTGAATATCTGGTTCCTCGTCATTTTCGCAGCCAATCGCAAACCTTCCGCTCTCTCCCGAGCCGCGAACTGCAAATCTGCTTTTCGCGGCTTGCAACTTGGGATCTGGGCTTTAAGGAAAGGGTATTTCCTTACACCAACACCATAACAGGGTTGCAGCGCAAAAATGCACGTATATTCAAACCGCACGCACCAACTGTGGCCGTGTCCAGGACCGCATGCAACTAGTACGTTTTACAGCTTCGTGCAGGTTCAGGCGCTTTGCACCGATTTCAGAGCCTCACGTCTCGGCTCTGCCGAGCCTCAATGGAGCTCTCTAGACCTAGCTCTCTCTAGATATGGGGTTGTTTTCCAGCTGCATAATTGTATTCTGGCCTCAATATTCACACTTCAATTCTCGCTGTTTGTGCCATATAACACTTGGTCATTAGAGCCATCGATCCTCAGCATTGTGTTATAGTTTCGCTGCAATACCGACACTTAGGGAGGCGGATGCTGAGCTGAAAAAGGCCGAGGATATTTTCAATAGGCTAAGTCCTTGTAACAGAGTGCTTGATAGCACAGCGGAAGTCTTGAGTTTGAACCCTTGTAGTGGTATGTGAGAACAAGTGATTGATTATAGCAAGGGGATACATAGTTTATATAATAATACAAGAGAATATGAAGAGTCTAACTTTTTGTGCACTTCTAGGGGTGCATTCCCTTTTTTACGACTCGATAAGGCGACTCGGGTAACCACCCGTACTGTAATATCGGGACGGTCATTTGTCCTTACTGTCGCGCTGACTCCTGACTCTTCCGATTCTGACTATTGGGTTGCACGGTTAACGGTCTGCGACCGTTGCCCTTTCGCAACCTCTGCGGGGTGTCATCAACCCGTGTCAAGTGTCGGTAGTACTGTAGCAGTGTTGACTCAGTGATCCTCGTTGTTGCAGTCTTCGCGTATTCGTACTCTCACGCGAGTCTCCGAAAATGTCTGAAGTTCTTTATCATTTTCAACAGCTGACGGCCTGCATATCCGCTGTGGCGGATAATATTAATCAATAGTTACCTACAGCCACTGTTGGAAATGATGAAGAGAAAACTTAAGCATTTCAGGAGTCTCACGTGTTATACAATACGCGAGTACAACAACATCGAGGACTGACGAGTCAACCATGCTACAGTACCTTCGGACAGTTGACACAGTCTGGTAACACATGACAGAGGTTGAGAAGAGCAACGGTCGCAAGCGGTTGACCGTGCAACCCAACAGTCAGATGTACAAGAGTTGAAGTCAGCGCGACAGCAAGGATACATAACCGTCCCGGTATTGCAGTACAGGTGGTTACCCGAGTCGTGCTTATAGATTCGTAAAGGGAGTGTACCTCTTGAAGTGCACGGTTAGTTCGACCTTTAATATTCTCTTGTAATATTATATAAAATATTGTATCTCATTGCTATGATTAGTCACTTGTTCTCACATACCAGTACAAGGGTTCAACTCAAGCTTCTGCTGTGCTATGAAACGCTCTATCTACCCAAAGACTTAGTCTCTGCCAAAGATCCTAGGGCTGTTTTTCAGCCCAATATGGTATCAAAGCTAGTCGGAGACTATGTTTCCACTACAAACTCCTTCGATTGAGTTCCTAACCTGAACAAGAACGCTCGAAGTGATACCAGTTTATGATCCAGACATTTAAGACAAGCATGGCACCATCTAAGGGTGAAGGATCCTCTACTGGACCTCCAGACCACGAAGCATCAGCACCTCTAGTCTCTGAAGTACAGACTGAGGCAAGCGCAACTCAAGGCACAACTATGGGGACACCCGCAGAGCAAGCAGCTCTCCCCTGTAGCATTGACCCGAGCTTTGCGAAGAAGTACTTCTCCTTCATGTCGCACTACGAACACCCTTTGCCACCTGCTCAGTCAGCACACAGCAACAAGGTCAGTGGTGCCCACACTGGCTTGGCGCCGATGAGACTAGCTGTTGCACAGGGCGTCCTGCGCATAATACCCTGAGCTTTCTGTTCTGCAGCAACCTGTTACCTGGTGTGAACGGCTTGTCTTAATCGCAAAATGTGTAAGTGATGGCGCGCATGGGCAGAAATACACCACTTCCCTCTTGCTGCGAAGCCTTATACACTGGCGGAAAGTATTGTCCACATGTTTGTGACTTAGAGGAATTTTGGAATTTTAAGGGGTCATGGACATTAAGCCTTAATCGTTTGGTATGCCCAGTGTATGTAGGTTGGGGTAAGGCTCTAGGCCCATGCCTTACATCTCACAACGATATTAATATTTACAGCAAATAGCAAAAATTAACAATCATGGTACATCCGGACAATTATTGTCAGGCGCAAGCAGCAAGTTACAACAACCCCAAACTAGTACCTAGTCCACCGCCCTTTCGCCTTAATCACAGCCCTCACCCTCCTGGGCATGCTTTCCACCAGGTGGGTGCACACATCCGCCGAGATCTTCTCCCATTCCTCCTGGACACGCTCCCAAAGGTCCAGCATACCAGTAGGAGGCTTCTCGTGCTTGGCCAGCTGCCTCTTGAGATGAGCCCATAGATGCTCTATTGGGTTGAGGTCGGGTGAGGATGATGGCCACTCTAGCACCCCAAACTCCTGCTCTCGAAGCCACTCCTGCACGATACGCGACTTGTGCTTCGGCTCGTTGTCGTGCTGGAAGATAGTTTCCGATGGTGAAAGCTGGTAAAACTCAATCGTACTATTGAGCTCGTCCTGCAGAATACTCAGATAGAGCTGTCCGTCCATCCTACCATCTATTTTGCACATGAAACCTGCTCCATCGTACGACATGCAACCCCAAATCATCAAGCAGCCACCCTCGTGTTTGACGGTCTGCTTGATTTGGTGGCTTTGGAGGGCAGTACCTTCGCGAACCCAGGCATATGAGCGTCCGTCGGAAGCAAACCGATTGATCTTGGTCTCATCTGACCAGATCACTCGCTTCCAGTCGTCAACCGTCCAGTCGGCGTAGGCACGGGCCCATTCTAGCCTATCGCGTATGTTTTTCCAAGAGAGTCGCGGCTTCTTGGGCTGCTGGATTGCGATAAGTCCGTTGCCATTCAAAGCATTACGCACCGTCCTAGGATGCAGCATGATGCCATGCTGCATCTCGACAATCTTCGCCGCGTGAGCGCAGGTTTTGGCCTCCCCGCTGGTAATCGACCGAACTATGCCGCGGCGAACTCTCTCTGTCACTAAGCGAGGGCGACCGGCTGAGGGCATCGTAGGACGCACGTCATCGCGGCTAGACTCTGCAATCGCCTTAAGGCCATAATCATGGACCGTACTCTTCCCCATGCCTAGCTGTTTAGCGATTCGACGAGTGCTATACCCCCTCCGCAACAGGGTAATGATCCATGCGCGGCGCACCTCATCTAATGGTTTCATGACGGCCTAATCGTAGCAGCGGTCCTAGCCTATCTCCTGACTACTCGAAAGTCGCGAGGGCAAGTAAGTAGAAAAAGGGAGGTTAGGATATAGATCTAGTACGCCGCTTGGCACGAACTGTCCGGATGCACCCACGCGAACCAAATCTCTTCCCCGGTAAAAAATCGAGCCTATAAAACTGAAACCAGTATCCGTCACATATACTACAGTACTACTTTACAGCCAAGGCCGAAATATGAGTCGTAACTATACAAAAAAGGCACCAAAACATTACGATAATATTTTTAAGGCAATTATCCGGGCAATACTTTCCGCCACTGTAAACACACGTGGCTTGTGGGTGATGGTGAGATCCTTGGCCCAGAT